TCAAACCAGTAACACGAGTACATTTCGTGGAATTGCTGTTGAACCACATGATCAGTTGTCTGACCAAAATTATTCCAATGACTGTTCCATTGAAAACTTATTTGTTTAACTTATATATCACATTACATGGTCAACAATGAAGAAGGTGATCTTCAGTTTGTTATCAAGTCAAGATATTTATCAGAAGAAGTTCATATCAAGAGAGGATGATGATCAGAAGTTGTCGGAACAGAATCATTCCAATTTTTATCTGATGCATCATCATCTCATCCCGTTCCAAAAATCATTTCAATGCGTGATGTGAATCAAATGAGCTTCATTTTCTTCATTGTCTTGACATCATCTGAACAAACTGCCAAGCGGGGGTGGAACATCGGAAGTTGTCTATCTCAAGACATTCGGTGATTTTGATTTTACAAATGATGCTTCGATTTGACATTTGTTTGTGCATCAGATGATGTTCGCAAGAAGATGATCTTCGCTTGGGATCAAGTCAAGATAATTATCAAATGAAGTTCACGTCAAGATAGGATGATAATCGGAAGTCGTCCATCTCAGGGTCCTTTTGGCGATTTTGATGTTGCACCTTTTTGGTTTAGATGATGTTTTGAAGGAAATAATCTCCACTTGGGATCGAGTCGAGATAATTATTGAATGAAGTTCACGTCAAGATAGGATGGTGATCGGAAGTCATCCATCTCAGGGTCATTTTGGCGATTTTGATGTCCTTTCGGCGATTTTGATGTTGTGCTTTGGTTGAGATGATGTTCCAAAGGAAATGATCTCCACTTGAGATCAAGTCAAGATAATTATCAAATGAAGTTCACGTCAATATAGGATGGTGTTCGGAAGTTGTCCATCTGGGGTCCTTTTGGCGATTTTGATGTCCTTTCGGCGATTTTGATGTTGTGCTTGACTCATCATCATCTCATCCTGTTCCAAAAATCATTTCATTGCGTGATGTGAATCAAATGAGCTTCATTTCATCATCGTCTCAACATCATCTGAACAAATTGCCAAACGGGGGTGGGAAATGGGAACGGAATCATTCCGATTTTCATCTGACTCATCATCATCTCATCCCATTCGGAAAATCATTTCATTGCATGACGTGAAGCAATAGAAGTAATAAGAACTTACTAGATAGCATAGAAATTCTCAAAACATATAATACCATCTGGCGGGGTATATGCATAAGTACCTGCTCAATATGCTTGTCATGGATGGATACCACTAGAAGGGATAACTTCCTCTTCTTAGTCACAGGTAGTAGTAGTAGTAGTACCAGCAGTAAAAGTACTAGTACTACTAGTAGTACTAGTGCCAAAACCACGAAGATGAATAAAAAAGTAGCATGGCTTTGCTTCCTCCTTTTTGGTGTCAGCAATACATAGATTAAAAACATAAATTGAAGCGGGCAGAGAAGGAGAAGGTCAAAATCTGGAAGGGAAGAAATATTGACACCAGTTGATTTGTTCGATGAAAATCATGAATATGTCACTTCTTCACAACAAGAACATAAACACAAAGAAAATACACCAGCACCAAGCACCAAAAACACTGCACCAAGCACCAAGAACCAAGCATCAAGCATCAAGCATCAAGCATCAAGCATCAAGCATCAAGCATCAAGCATTAAGTATTAAGCATTTAGCATTTAGCATTTAGCATTAAATGGCTCAAAAATGAAATACCACAAAGCTTGGCAAGTTTACATCACAACCGTCAAACTTTGGCAAGGAAAAACTGGTTAGGTACGGGCATTCTTGGTATATTAATGGGGAGAAAAAGTACAAATGGCCTCTCAACAAGATATTTCTTTCTTGCTTGTCCTTGTTTTCACAGCTGATAGTATGAACTATTGGAGAAAAACAGGAAAAAAATGTTTCGACATCTTTGTCRGGAAATTGAATCACTACAAAATCAACCACAATCCAGCAAGGTTTTGGAGGAGTCGCTACAAAAAAGATTTTTGCAGGAAGACAGTGTCATTGACATCAATAGGTATGATGGTAAGGATGGTGAGGAGGAGTCGGATGACGATGACGAATGCTACATCGACCCATTGATTAGGGATGAATGGAAAAACAACCACGGTGAATTGGAATGCACACAGGTTGAGGGGGTTTAAGGATTATCTGCAGTACAAAAAAATGGTAGCTGAACTTTATTAAAAAAGAATGGAATCTAATGCACCTAAAATGGTGTCAAAAAAAACAAATGCATGAATCTCGCTGGACCTTTCGAAACAACCAAACATTTAAAATTTAATTGAAATAATCAAAAATGTGATTTGAACACTTGTACCATACRATTCTAGCTGCACCTGTTGAGAGAACCAAACATTTCAAATTTAATTGAAAAAATCAAAAAGTGATTCGAAAACTTGTACCATGGGATTCTAATGTACCACAAAAACATGAACTCAACCACACCAAAATAGAATTGAAATAAATTAGAAATTTACTCAATCTTTTCTACCATGGAATTAAAAAATACAATTTGCGATCCCAATATGCAAACGTGAATAAAAATAAATTGGCACCACGTGACTTGACATTTTGACAGCAGCCATCAGGTGACTTTCAAAATTAATTCTCAACCCACGACTCATCGAATATTTTTTTTTTTAAATTAATTGACAAGTGAGGTAGTAAGTCCGGTCGGGAATCGCAACCCATGTGTTATGTTCACTCACAAAATATGTTCATTCAGGGGTTGAGAATAGGTACAAACCCCGGAAATTTACAAGAAAAAAAGGGGTCAAAAAACAGTTAACAGACGTAATCACAGGACTAGTACTACTAATTCTACAAAAATCAGTTTAAAGTTGTGATCAAGATTGATCACCAAAAAACGATCACAAATTTGTTGTTTCTGATCACATTTTTTTGTGATCAAAACCTATCACAATTTTTGGTACCAGTTGGGGGCCTGGAAATCTAATTATTCCCCCCAAATTGAAATTGACATGGTTCCTTTCGAGTCGTTTTCATAAAAATCAAAATTAACAAAAATCAAAATTCATGCGAGTCTCCTGCATGGATACATATGTATAATACAGTAACTTCATACCTACAAATAAGTTTCAATGAACAAAACAACTGAGAACGACAACAACCACAGATTGCAGAAAACAACATCATAAAAACATCACTCCGAAGACTGTCCCCTCCTCGCCGTTGTTGAACCACAACAAAGCAAGGTATTTTGGCAGCTCACTAAACAGTACGTACCGTAATCCATTGTTTTGCACACATTACATTACGGTATTCACATCACCTTACGTATTATTTGTATTCCAACGCTATCATCGCTATCATAGGAGAAATAAGTTTGCAGTAACACATACTTATACAAGCAGAAATTTAGATCAACAGCGTTATCATGGTGCGTAACTCAGTACACATTGCCATCGTCTAGTGTTCGCAAAAGCGTGTCTTAAATGACAACTATTGACTCTAATCTTTTCTCTCGTACATCGTTCTACCAGTCTGGAGCCTGGGCGAAAGGTGCAAACAAGGCAGTCGTTGATGCACCCTCAGGTGGTCGCGTAGGTGGAAGCGAGGGCAGCAACAACAGTAATCGTCGAAATTTCAACAATAACTCTGGCGACAGAGGAGACAATTTTGGACGAGGAGGAAGAGGACGTGGCCGCGGCGGTGGTCGCGGTGGTGGGAGAGGTCGCGGTCGAAACAACTTCGACAGCAACAATGGAGGACGCGGCGGAAGAGGGCGTGGGCGAAACAACTTCGACGGTCACAACAAAAACAATCGTGGTGGTCAGAACAATAAAGGGTCGAACCACCAACGGATCGTCATTAAAGATGTTCAGCTCCTCGAACTCACCGGTATCGGTAGCACTCCATCTCAACAAGCTGTGAAACGAATCTCGGCGAAGATTTTAATGATGGCTCGAACTAAATATATCGAAGCGCCTACTCCGGATGCAAATGGCGTCGAAGTGTTCAATCCCCACGAAGAATGTCAATGGACTGACGAGAACCGTGCCGAAACGATCAATCAGAGTTCGATGCGAGTGATGGAATTAGGAGATGTTTCTAAGAATCCTAACTCTAAATCAAAAAACAAAGAAACTGCACCACCTCTGGAGGAGTGTAAGCCACTGGAAATCAATGAGGAAACTAGATGGAAATCGAAGGCGATGAATAACTCTGCAACATCTAAAACCGAAGATTCGAAGACCGAACAATTTAGCAGCATGGAACTGGTGAACAAAGGTCTTCTGATTCTAAACAAAATTTCTTGGACTACGATGGATCGTTTGACTAAGCAGTTTCAGGAAGAGACCAAATTGGTCGAGAACGACGAAGTTCGAAAAGAGATCATCACAATCATTATTCGGAAGGCTCAAACCGAACAGCATTTTGGACCCATGTATGCGCAATTGTGTTCGATTATTAGCAAGGAATTCAAACCCTTTAAAAGGGATTTGTTAGAGAAATGTCAAGGAGAATTCGAAATGGAAACAGCGGACAAGATTTCACTTGCAACAAAAACAGCCGATGGAACTCCAATGGACGAGGAAGAAGTTCAGTATCATTCGACGCTAATCCGGAAAGCATATGTTGGTCACATCAAGTTTTTAGGTGAATTGTATTTACGAGATGTTGTCAAGTTGTCCGTCATGACATACTGTCTAGATGAGCTTTTGAAAGATGAATCAAACGAAGAAAATTTGGAATGCTTTGCACATCTGATGACAACTATGGGCGAGAAACTGGTTGGTCATACTAGGAAGAAAAACAACAAGCCGTTCGACTGGGGCCCGGTCGAAACGTTGCAGAAGTCTCCAAATATCTCGAATCGAATCAAGTTTATGCTGCAGGATCTCGTTGAACTGAAAAATAGAGGTAAGCTATTCTGTTTGAGTTTGCAACGGTGAGAGTAAAAATAACTTGTGAGCACACCACCACTTACACCTGATTTCTTTTATTCTGTTTGCACCTTCTTTATTTGTATCTGCAGGCTGGGTGCAAAGGCGGAAGTTGGAGACGGCGAAGTCTATCGCGGATCTACATAAAGAGCTTGCGAAGGAAAAGAAGAATCAACGGAGGAATAGTTCTCTGAACATCTCAACTAGTCAGTCTAACCTAAGAAGAGTCAATAGTGTAACAGCCCCCTCCATGGATGGTGACGGATTTATGGAAGTCTCACGAGCAACCATGAAGAAAGTCGGAAGTAAACAAAATGTTTCTGAGAATGCATCTGCTGCGCCTTCCATACCCAAGGGACAGAAAATGCGCCGAGCTCAAAGCACTCCAGCAGGACTATCTACAGGGTATACGATTGGAACCCCATCCTCGACGCCAATAAAGCAAAAAAATGTGACCTACAATAACATGTCCAATGCACCATCACTTCCTACAACAGTCTCTCCTGAACGACCAATTGTGTTATCGGTCGATCAGTGCCAATCTAAGATGAAGAGTGTCTTAAAAGAATACTTTGTTGGCGGTGATACTGCAGATGCAGTTTTGTCAGTTCATGAAATGATTCAAGCCGGTAGTGAGGGGTCGATTGAAAGAGGAGCTAAGTCCTTTGAAGCGGGGGTGCTTATGGTCATGGAAATGAAAGAAGCTGATGTCAAGCAATTTTTGACTGTTCTAGAATCATGTGTAAAAGAGTCGAAGATCGAAAAAGAATCAATTGTTCAAGGTTTGAACGATCCCCTCGAATTTTTAAGAGATATTCAAATCGATGCACCACTAGCTGCTAGTCATGTGTCTCTTATTATTTCTGAGCTGATCAACTGGAATACGATTTCCTTGGACGTTTTGCTGGGTGCCCCGGAGTTCTTCAAAACCGAAGGGAAAGCCGCAGCGTTGGCCATCGAAATTCTTAAGAAGAACAACGGAGGCGAGCCCTCGGACAAAGACCTCACTGTCGTCGAAAGTCTTATGACCGAGGGTGACAAGGAAGTCCATTCCTCTGCGAAAGTCATGTTCAGTGCTCTATGATGATATTGCTCAACATCTTTTTGTCATGAACGTTAATTACTATGTACAACCATGACATAAATATCATGTTCCTACTCTTCACGGCCAGTCTAATTAATACGTATTATGAAAAGACCACCAAAAGATAGTTTCAAGCAAATAATATTATTTCTTTCTTGAGAATGATATAATGTTAGATCCATGATCTGAACTTTACTTGTACTGAATCTCCCGAGAAAGCATCAAACACAATGCATTTTCAACAGATCTTCCGTTTTTCTGCCCTTCATGTTAGAGGATTTTCTTGGACCATAATTTTTTAACATTCAGCAGATGTGTAAAAATCACTCGTACGGTACCGTACGATTGACCAAGGCCTTCTGGCATCCAAACCAGCATGGTGACACCCCCTTCTGAAGTGGGAAATCCTCCTCCCTGGCCTTAATTCAAGCAATCTAACCACATGAGCAAAGCATTATAACCATGTTTCCTACCCTCCTGTCCCCAGCTGCTGGCAGTTGGCCTCAGCTAGATCCATTCCCAGTTCTTATAGACCAGAACTATCTTCCAGTGTTGAAGCTGTTGTTGGTTCCAATATTTGTGCTGGAAAGCAACAACAACAACCCCAGCCATAAGTATTCAACTAAAACCTATCCTATAAATAACAACACCTGGGGTATGTGCTACATCATACTCAATTTTAAAGAAGATTCACCAGCCTCATCTCCATGAAGTTCCAGTATTATTTATGGACCACCAAAAGATAATTCCTGTGAGGATGTTGTTGTTTCCAACATTTGTTTTGGACAGCAACAACAACCCCAGCCCATTTGAGGCAATACAATCATAATTTTGCTGATGTGATCAGCAGCATCTTTCCCCATATCCCAGCTCCTGCTGGATCCATCCCCAGTTCTTAAGGACCAGAACCAGTGTATTCCGGTCACCATGTTGCTGTTTCCAACATTTGTGCCAGAAAGCAACAACAAAAACCCCAGCCCCAGTATTCAACCAAGACCTATGATTTGAAGAACAAAGTCTGAAGTATATGCTACATCATACTCAGTTTTAAAGAAGATTCCCCAGCATCTCCATGCAGTTCCACCAGTATTCTTTACAGACCCTAAGAAGATATTCCGGTCATGATGTTGTTGTTTCTGACATTAAATTTGGACAACAACAACAACCCCAGCACCCAGTATTCAACCAACCTGATGAGATCAGTATCCCCCTAGCTGTATACAGTTTGCCTCAGCTGGCTCTATCCCAGGTCTTAAGGGCTGGGAACAGATTCTGGTCATGAGGTTGTTGTTTCTGGCACTCGTGCCAAGCAGCAGCAGCAACAACAACCCCAGCCCTCAGTATCTACCAGATCTTAGTATCAATCTATCCCCAGTTCTTTTCTCCTTCAAGAAGATGTTCCACAAACAGTTGCTCCCTTTGGTTGTTTGGCCCAGCTGTTACTTGAAAAATTAAACATTAGTTCAGTTTTATCTTTTTTTTAATTATTATTTTTAAAAAAATGACCACTCCAACACCTGTGTCTTTTTACACTGCATGGATGCTTGCCTTTATTGGATTGTTGGCGGTGTGCTTGGCACTCATTTCCTTGATCACTGCAGTGTGACTTGCCTTTGGGCTTGGCAGTGCCCTTTGAAATGATAATGACATGGTTCTTATCCATCCAAACTGTGAACCACCTATTTCTAGTACTAATGTTCCTTTATTCTGTTCATATATTTTCTTCTCTTTATCCCCGACAGTGCACTGATCCATTCTGGGCAATTGAGAGAAACAATCCGCAAGAACATTCTGCTTGCCGGGAATGTAAACCCGTTTGATATCAAAGCCCTCAAGTGACAGCTTCCATCTTAGAACTTGTGACTGTGAAAGTGTCCTGAAAATAAGGTTTTTATGATCAATAGATGTTGATGTGGCCACCGTATAGCATATTTCAATACTCCTTGAGACAAAGGACAACTGCTAGGAGTTCCTTTTCCATTGTGGTGTAATTCCGTTGGGTTTTGTTGAGCTTCTTTGACCAATATGCAATTGGTCTGTTATTTTGGAGTATTGCTGCTCCGAGTTGATAGTCAGAAGCGTCAGTGTAGATGTCAAAGTCAACTTCCAAATCTGCAAAGGTGTGATAACATCATAAGCAAGCAGAGCTTTCATTTCTTGGAAGGCTTGGTCACACTGTGGTGTCCAGATGTAAGGACCAGAGCCAGTGAGGGTTGTTAGTGGGGCAAGTACATGCAATTTCCTTGGCCACATGGACTTGTAATAATTCACAGCTCCCAGGAAAGATCAAACCTGCTGTTGATTCTGTGGGATGCCCATCTTCAGGATTCCATCTACCTTCTTTTGCCATGGCTTAACACCAGCTGGGGTGAGCCAATATCCCAGGAAATCAGATTCCTTTACTGCCCATTCACATTTCAGTGGGTTGCATTTCATTCCATTCTGTGCAAGGCGCTGGAGGACTGGATCCACTAGGGAAAGATGCTGAGTGAAAGGGCCACGAGACCATATTCCCATATCATCAAAATAGACTTCAATGTCTAAACCAAACAGGATCTTAGTGATGAATGCTTGGGTATAGTCTGGAGATGATTTAAGGCCCATTGGCAATCGCAGGCATCTGTAGTTACCATGTATGGTAGTGAGTGTGCATATCTTCTGGCTTTCCTCATCCAGTTCAAAGCAGTAAAACATGATAGATAAATCAATCTTAGTGAAATGGTCGTAGTGTTGCCTTTGGTTCATGATGTCCTGGATTCTGGGGAGGTTAAACTGAGGTCTCTTGATCCTCTTGTTTAACTCTCTGAGATCGACAAGCCATCTGACTCGTCCATCCTTTTTTGGAATGATAAAGGCCAGAAAGCCCCATTCGGAATTGCCTGTAGGAGCAATCACTCCTTCATCTACCAGATATTGGCACTCCTTTTCGAACACCTTCTGGTGTCGGTAGGGAACTGGGTATGGTCTTATGTAAACTGGTTTGGCATTGTCTAGGAGATCAATGTGGATCCTTTTACTATGAGGATATCTGCCAAGTTTGCCATCAAACAACTCCTGGTGTTTGGTTAGCATCTTCTTGAATGCTAGTCTTTCTGTGTTGGTCATGTGCTCCTGGTGGTTTGCAACCTCTTCCAGAGTGACTCCCTGGTATTTTGCATCCAGTATTTTATTGAGCTCTGTTCCATTGGTTCTGGCAGTGCCGGTTGGGCCTGCTAAATAACTGTCCAAACTGGCTGCGTGTCTGCAGTCTTGTTGTCAGCAGCTTGGGGGGAGTAGATGAAACTCTAGGAATCCACCATCCAGGAGTTCATCATCCTCTGCCAGCCACATGGCTTTGGCCACTTGCTGGGGGTCATTGAAATGATCTATTGGCTTCATCCCTATGGTTGAATCCAACCATTTAATGGTGTGCTTGGAGAAGCAGAGATCTATCCTGGTCATTTGTAGGAAGTCTCTTCCAAGAATCATATCATAGTTGCAAGGAGCTGAGAAGAGCCTTGCATTGATTCCTTTCATGTATTTGCCATTGCCAAACTCTGGCAATCGTATCTGTGATATGAACACATATCTGGAGGTGTTGAAGCTTCCTTGAGCCGTTGTGGTGACTGAGCTGGTTTTATCCATGAAGGGGACTGTTCCTGGTGGAAGGCAACGCTCGTGAATTAGACACATAGTACTTCCACTGTCCAAAAGAACTTTGAATGTTTGCATTGTTAGTAGGTCTTGGATTGTTTTGCAGACAAGTATGACTGCTGGTAGCAAGTCTGGATTCAGAGCTCTCAAGGTGACTGCCGTAGGATTCTTAAGAGCTTCTTCACTATCAAGACCAAAGAAGTCAAGGCTCTTTTCTGGTGAGTGAGTGGATGGTGTTGGAGGCAATGCAAAGAAAGCTTCTGCTTCTGCTTCTTTTACTGGGTTTGGTCACCACTGCTGGTTAGGTCCCTGAAATCTGACTGTTGATCCTGCGTTGCTGTTGGATTGTAGGGAGACATGGCTCGGGGGACCTCCACTGGAGCTGGATCCATTCTGTGTTTGTGTAAGCTGATACGTCTGGGGTTGACTCGGAGAGTGTTGTTGGATTTGAGTTAGTTGGCCACGTTCATCAATACAGAGGGTGTAGGTACCTGGTGTAAACGTCCTACTGTTTGAATTTGTATTTGAGCTTCCCTGATGCGACTGATTCCTCCGGTTATTACTGTTGCTATTTCTCTGACTGTCTCCTTGGTAGTTGTTACCCTTCCTGTTGAGTGGACATTCTCCCCAACTATGCTCTCCATTGTACTTCCTGCAGGGCCTTGCATTGAACCTATTCTGCCTTTCATTTTCTTGGTTGTTGCTGTAGTTGATGTTAGTGTTACTGTTGGTGTTGTGTCTTCTTTGCTTTCCACTCCTTCCTCTTTCCTCTTCATTTGCTGGTCTCTTCCTCAATTGATTTCTTTCATTCTTGTCTGCAAGTCCCTTCTGCTCTGTCATGAACTTGACTATTTGCTGAGGTGACTCATTGAGGATATCTTTCCTGCAACTGATATATTTGTCTTGCCAAACGCTGGGGAAGGACTTAAAAAGAATCTCCTTGATCTCCCTCTGGGACAGGGGATCCCTAATACCATGTAAGAGGTTGGCTCTGTTGCAGCAGATGAGGATGCTCTCTGCATGAGCTTGGCAAGTGATTCCATGGGGCTTCCGAATGGCATCTGATTGTAAGTATTCAACAGCATCATCTCTGGCTTGTTTCGAAGGTGCAAAGAATTCTCTGAAGGAGGCGAGGGCCTGTTTCCATTGCTCCTTAGTGTTTCTCCCTATTCTCAATCTGTCAGAGCCTTTCCACATGTTATTCCAGTTCTGTCTCGGTCGATGGGCCAAGACCATTACCCATTTCTGATCTATCTGTCCATCCGTTAATTGCAAATCATCTATTGCATCCTCAAAGTCTTCCTGATTATGGAATAATTCCTGTACACCATATTGACCTGAGAAAACTGAGTAATTTCTCTTTGGTCTCATAGCAGAGATTTGGATTGTTCTTAGATTTGCTCCTCTTCCGGTGGTCTCTGTTCTGGCTGGATGATCCACAA